CGAAATCAATATTTTAAGGTGAACTCCCCGGTGCAAAAACTTTCTAACCAAGCAAATATGCCTCCTCTATCTATCTATCTATCTTATCTTATCTTATCTTATCTAATCTAATCTATCTATCAATTTATCTTTCTATCTTTCTGCAGTTCAACATCCACAAAGTACTGCACCTGCCACGAAATCTGCACTTCAAGGTCCACAAAGTCTTGCGCCTGCCACGAAATCTGCACTCCAAGGCCCACAAAGTTCTGCACCTGCCACCAACTCTACACTTCCACACCCACAAAGTCCTGCATCTGCCACGAAACCCTGTATCTAGAATCACTTGACCGGCCTTCTTCACTTGCATCAGCCGAAATCTCCCCGTTCGCCTTCCTAAAGCCACAAAGAGTTCGGCTTCAGCCCGGGTTTGCCAGTAAAAATCCCTTTCGATCCACCCAAAACACCTGTTTCAGATTCATTTCCACCGACCTTCGGCACCGTCGGACCTGAAGCGGGCAGGCGACGCGTGTGGCGCAAGGACGAGGTGCTTGAAGGCGCGGCGATCGGCTGCGACCGATGTGCCGAGGTCGAACGAGAGTCTGGAGCCGGGGAGTGGGTGGTCGGGAGTGGTAGATGTGGTGATGTACATGGTGTGAATGAGGCCGCTAATCATGGAGGCCGGTGTCAAACAGGTACTTTCGGCTCCACCCGGGTGGCTGAGATACCGCATGTATGTTCCTGCATTCGGGGGCCAACCAAGTTGTGCCTTAGTGACAGAACACTGCAAGGAGGAGTCAGAACGATTGCCAGGACAGAGCTCGGGGTGCTGGTCCCGAACAGAGGATAGGGGTACGCCCCTGTCACATCCACGAGCCCTGGATGGGACGAGCCAAACCACCTGGATGGGACTGTGAGAATGCCCTGTGTTTGGACTTTGCAGCTGGTTTCAGGTGAAGTACGTGGCACGTACGTGTCAAACGACCCGCTGGATGATATCGTGTGACCCTTTGGTTGGTGGACTCACACAGCGAGGTAGCCCCACTGCACTGTTGGAACACATCAGATCAGATGGGAAACCCATGGAGTGAGTAGGAAGGATGTTTCCCATGGTCATCCAGAAGTGGGGGGGGCCAGGTCACCCACTTCCATCAACCGCCTTTTCAGAGGCATAGAGGTCTAGGGAACATGCTCACGAAAAGTTATTTCACACTCTTCTGGTGAAAAGCTGCTCCAGGTGAGTCTTGGACATGATGTGTTGGTGACTTCTAGTGGTAGGTCAGGCCAGCGGTAGGTCCGGCCCGTACCTGGAGTCTCAAAGTTCAAGTACCACAGACTCAGAAGATGAGTATATACCCTAGAAGTCCAGTTCGACTAAAATTTTGACCGACTGAAGTAAAGGAACTTCCTTTTTGGGATACCTAAAGACCCTTCTTTGTATGGTCTTTGACTCCTAGGGTATATATAGCCGCTGTTTCTGTTCTTTTATGGAGTAAGGTACTTGGGAGGGTCCAGATGGATGTCTATTTGTTTCTAGATGCACGGACCAGCTTTTTGGGCCGCATAGGATCAGACCCGATTCACTGGTTGCAGTGTACCGTCATCCGCCGGGACATGATAGGACCCATCCAACTCCGAACGACCCAATTCCCGCCCTTGAGGCGCATCCAATCGGCCAACTGCTGCCAAATCAGCTCCCGCCCACGCGCAGCAGCTCTTCGCCCAAGCGCCAACGCCATGGGCAGCTGGCCAACGGCACCCGCCAACGCCACAGCGCCGAGGGCGTCTCTTGGCACGCGACACTGCGCAAGTGCACCCTGCGCCGATGACACCGCGCTGCCCAAGCCACGCGCGCTGATAGGAAGCACTGCGCGCGCGGCCCAAGCCACGCAGCCGACGAGGATTACGCCGCGCTGTCGAGATGATGTGCGGAAGCTGTCGCAAGAAGAGCACCTTGGTGCAGTGAGTTGGTTCAGGTGGAGAGCTGTGTAATTAGTGGTGTTTTTTGTTTCCAAAGGGTTATCCGAAGAAGAACCCTCATTGATATTGCCAGCTGTTGAGGATATCGCCACTTCATAGCTTGAAGGGCTGTGCAAAAGTGTATATATACATTTTATAGGTCCTTCACTTTCACCCTGAGCGAGCCCTCCTGGCCAGGCCTGGGACCCACAGGTGGTTTCTGGGTACCTATGATCACCAACCTGGTTCTTCAAAGTGACCTTTTGATAACCTGGTTTGAGGTCACTTAAGCCTCCTAAGGGTCACTTAGGAACCTTCCAAAGGTCACTTTGAAGAAGCTGGAAGAAAATACTGATCATGGAAGGGCGCAAGAGCTGGCGCGAAGTGGAGTCGCACATGCGGCGCTGGGGAGTCCGACAAGCCGTCAGAGCCCGCGCCAGTGGCGCAAGCGGGACCCACAGATGTCCAACACACACACACACACACGTACGCTGTACGCTGTACACCTTCAGGTGTTCCTCCTGTAGTATCCAACTGCAGTTACAAGGAATGGATGTTTTGTTTAGGATGAGGCATTCTTAGGTGACAGAGAAATCTCTCAAACAATTCAATGTGGCTTTAGGTTTAACCGGTTAACCCCCCACAACGCGTGACAGTAGCTGGATCGAACATTGTCCCCTTACTCCAGCTGAGGTAGCTGACCCAAGCCTTCCGTAATCAACAGAGCTATCCCAAAATCCGATCTATCATGATCTATCCGTGGGAGAGTCCATACCATCAGCTTCCAACACCCCAACACCGAAGGTCTTCTCCAAAAGGAGGAGGTTTGAAGAACAGAAAGGGTTTTAGGGTTGTAGACTGAGAGTCTATAGGACTGGAACCATGTTACCAGCCTGACATCCAGTACTACCCGCAGGTCGGGTGGTGAAACATGTCGGCCCCTCACGATCTCCTGTTCCATCTACCACCGGCCCATGGGTGGTGCTGGATATGACCACTGACCCAGGCCATGGCGGACACTCTTCCGGTCGGCGGATTGGTCGGCTCTTCTGATCGTTTGGGTGCGAAAGCGGCCAAGGCGTCGACAATTGTCGATGTGCCTCACCCCAACGCCAGGCATGTCGATTGCGGATCGCGAGTCTCGGTCGTTTGATCGATGGTTAAAGACTACCCGGCCTCATGGGGTTGGCAGACGGCTCTATTGAGGTGGAGGAGTAGGTGGAGGCTTTTGGGGGCGTGTTCTTTCCAGTTTTGGAGGCCACAGGTCGTGTTTGGGCTTTACAGTTATAGGATGTGCGTTCATCGGCTATAGCTAGCTCAAAACCTGGGACCTTTTTCCGGAGCTCAGACCCCTATGAGCTAGCTCCATCCTAAAACACGTGTCGACCTGGATCAGAGGATGTGACCTCGTGTCGACCGACCTGGACGTGACTCGCGTCCGCGTCCTCCCGTCCGCAACGGCGAGCTCAGCGGCGGACGTTCGGATTCCGGTGAGTCGCGTGGACACCGAGAAAGCCGAGAGCCAAAGAAGAAGCCCTCGGGATCCGTTTTCGTAGCTTCTCAGGTACGGTGAGGACGGAGACTCTGTTATGTAGCTTTGTAGGGTCCAGTCGTACCTTCTGAGAAGGTACGACTGGATCCCTAGCAAAAGTAAGAGGATCAAACATGGAAAGAGAGAGAGAGAGAGAGAGCCTAGTCTAGTCTAAGCGGCCTCCAAGCTAGCTGGCGGTCAAAAGGACACATGACCGACCCATTGACCTGTAATTGTCGGTCAAGGTTACCGCTCCATGCTCGACTGGCTCCACATGAATTCACGACCCATATGATCCCCATATACCTGAAATATGCAGCTCTGCCATCGATATTTTCCACGAACTCGCTGCCGCCGCATCGTGTGTTCGTTCTGCCCGTTCCGCCCGTTTCCGAGCGTGGCGTGTGAGGCATCACACGCCGGCTTTACGGCAAGAGTCCAGATCCGCGCACCGCCACGCCGGCGACCCGAGGTGGGTCAGATCGGCCGAGAGAGTTTGCCATGTGGCGATGTGGCTGGAAAGGGGGGCGATGTGGCAGGGAGAGAGACACACAGAAAGCGGGACCATGCAATGTTACAGGAATCAACATACATTAGTGCGGTAAATCAGCGGAGGGCGACTTTTTTTTGGAATTGTGGCATATATGGGTTTTGGAGATCCAGGTTTTGACCCACACTCACATCCAAGTTCACCAAAGGTTTGGCTGGTCTGGAAGTGGTTGTCAGTTCAAAAACTCTGAAAGCATTTGCCAGGTGTCACCCGCCGGCTGCACGGCAAGAGCCCAGACCCACGAACGGCATGTGTGAGACACGGAGAGGTGCCGGCACGAGGCCGGACAACCAGGAACGTGTGGCAGGTGGCAGATGGCAAACATTGAAGCACAGACTGAGACGGGTTGCATGACCACATTTGATTGGGGTGGTTGGATCAATGTTGAAAAGGGGTATATACATTATACATTTATTCCCTAGGGATCCAAGTACCTTCTCAGCAGGTGAGGACGGAGACACTGGTTTGGAGGGTCCAAGTACCTTCTGAGAAGGTACTTGGATCCCTAAAATATTCCAGTCCAACGGAGTGTTTGGGTGATGTTGCACGGTTTTGGGGTGGCATCAGGCGGACGTGTCCAGCGCTTTGGTCCTTTCCATTCAAAGAGTTCGGTTGACCTGGTTTTGTAGTCTAAAATAGTTATAGAACTTATAGAACAGTTATAACAAAAACATAATAGTTAGAACAGACAGTAACTAATATTCAAGGGTCGTTTCGAGGGTCAACCAGCATCGACGCCAAGTGGGAGACCCTGATGGGCTTCAGATCGACACACATGGGCTTTTGCCCCTTTTGACGACTCATCATCGAATGTGGAACATCTCCTGCATGGCATCCCGTGGCCCACACAGGGTAGCCTGGTCTATTTCCCTCTATGGGTCACAATGGGTGGCTTTTTTGGGGGGGCAACCCCCCTGGCCCCTGGCTGGGACATGTCTAGACTGGTCTTCGACTTCAAGACTTCACCCAAACAGTCGTCGCCAGGGGGGCGTCGGGTCGAACCCGAAGTTGGAACCAGGGCCCCCGGCATCAGGGGGTGTCTTACTGCCTTGGCATCGCTTTTTCGCCGACACTGGGATCTTTGGGATCTGTTTGTGGGTGTGGAGGCTGTGGAGGCTGCAAGGACGAGTTTCGCGACCATCGTCGAAAGGACGAAACGTTTCCTGTAAATCATCAATAGAAGGACAACACAAGAACATAATTTTAGTGATGTGTTTTTTTCTTTGCATGTGTTTCGATGTGTTATGATTCATTTTTGGTGCTTAAATGCCTCCCGAACGAGTTCCCGAACAGCGGCGCTAGGCATTTCTCATCGCTTGCACGGCAAGAGCCCCGACCCGCGGCGACTGGGACATCCAAGCCCGACGGTGCCAGTGCCTGTGCCAGCGCGGCCAGGCGGGACATGGCGGGACGAAATTGAAAGACTGGGCGAAACCGTGCATGTTGTTTTATTTTTTACATGTGATGACCAACCTACTTACTGGCGATGGCCTCCAACCTACTAGTGATGGCCTCCAACCTACTAGCGATGGCCTCCAACCTACTAGCGATGGCCTCCAACGTACTAGTGATGGCCTCCATCGTGGTGGTGAATGGAATTGAGAAGGACTTCGCATTCGACATTTGCTTCACGCTTCATGTGGGCATGACGATGTGCAGACCTGGATGGATTTGTGGCCCGGCGTCATCCCGAACAACCATCGTTTGATGTTTGCAGGTGCACAAGATGAACCATGTCACACCATGTCACTTTCGAAGGCGAGGTCCCAAACTTCGTTGACCCAAAGCTCACACGATTCCCGAAGGTGTT